CTAGAAAGATTAATTTTAAGAGGGTTTAACTGAGTACAGAAATGATTCATGAATAGGGCAGCACCCAAACAAGCAGCCCCACCCAGTGGGGAGGAGCATCCTGACTTGGGAGCCATGCATGGAACCAGCCTGCCTGGGCAGGGCAGGGCTGTGCCTTAAAGGACAGGCTGGGCAATTCCAGAATCAATTGGGGAACTCTGCCTGCTGGGATGGGTGGGCACCCCTGGTTTCCTTGACCACAGTCTTCAGGTAGGTAGTGGTCAGGTCACCTCTTGAGTTAGTCCCCTGTGCCTCATGGCTTTAGGACATCTTACCTTTGCAGAGGCAGCCTTCATGCTCAGCAGTGGGGGATAAGCAGACTTTGGGCTGGAAGGAAGGCTGAAGGCGCTGGTGGGGGTGCTCATGGCGGGGTGGGGTGCCCAGGCCACCCGGGATCAGAGGGCAATGCAGAACTGCGTGGGTTCCAACTGAGAAGAAGTGTCTGGCTGACACTGAAATGTCAAGAGAGTTCATGGTCGTTATTTTCTACCTGTAATTTTCAATATTCAATTGTAAAGTTTAAAAACATAGACATGCCTGAATAAAGTAACTTATATTTAAAATATTTTAAAATAATGCACAATTTTAGAAAGCAACAAACATTTGAAGAGAAGTCTCCACTGTGGCAACAGTGTCTGAGGTTTCCTGCAGGTGTCCACCCAAGGCCTGGGCCTGGCCCCTGGACAAAAGTGTTTCAAGCCTGGGCTTCACCTTGTGGGTAGCACAAAGATACACTTTCCTTCCCCAGGTGTCCATGTCTCCCTACTTGTCCCTCTGGCCGTCAGTGGGTCCAGAGACAGAGCACCCACGTGTAGGAGCCCCACTCAGGCCGCCCAGGACAAGGCCCAGAGTCCCAATTTCAGGGAATGACGAGGGGGACCCAAAGGTCTTTGCAAAGAGTGCATTTGAGACAGCCTGCAGGATCCAAAGAGTGAGGACCTCGAGGCCCAGGCCCAGGGAAGACCCTTGTACGGAGCACTTCGGGCACAGAGGACCCGAGAATGTGGCCGAGCTCAGGAGCTGCCAAGGAGCAAGGCACCCAGGGGCAGAGCGCTGGGGGAGGTCGAGGACAGGCCTACCGCCACCCTGAAGGACCCATGGACCACGGAAGGAGCTGCCAAATCAACTTCAAGCCTCTGGGAGGTTTTGAAGGTGTGTGTGTCTGGGCCACCAGGGTTGTAGGCAGCTGTGGCTGCTCTGTGCAGAATGGGCTGCAGGAGACATGGCGGGCAGGAGGCCTGAGAGGACTATTGGTGGAATGGACAGTGGAGTGTGACCTTTAATGCCCTTACTTGGGAGAAGAAGGAGTTGGCAGGTTAACAATGACAATCTCCTTAGCTAGTCTTAATTGAGCACCGCTGCTTTCTAAATACTTCTGCATACTAATCCTGTCAGTTCTCAACACAGGCCCTCAGGAGAGTTCTGCCCTGACCTCCATCCTGCCAATGAGGACCCAACCAGAGGGACGTGATGAAACGTGAGGCTGGCATCGGGGTGTCCAACACAGCACACAGCAGGCCCCGTGTGCTCCTTGGAAAGCACCAGATGGGCTGACGGGGGACACAGGGCAGGGCAGGAGGCAGGGATGCTGCTGCCCCCTCTGCACAGCTGGCCCCGAGGTGCCCACTGCAGACCGACCCACTGAGGAGACCCGAACTGGTGCTAAGGCCCACAGAGGCACAACCCTTCCAGAGGCCATGGGTGGAGTGCACTGCAAGGGCTCCCAGAAGAGCTCCTGCTTCCTACTGTGGTTCCCTGCAGCAGTTTCCCCAAGTCCTCTTCACTACCCACGAAACCAAGAATCCAGGGGCCTGCCCTCCATGCCCTGCCATCTCCTTCCTCAGTTCCTACTTTCTCCACCTTCACCAGCCCTGGCAAAATGTCTCTGCAGGAGGTGAAGGCTGCATCCTGTGGGTCTCCTTGGGCACAGGCCAGATGGGACCACCCAGGGAGCAGGGTGTTCCCCAGACCAGCCAACAGGGCCTCTGTGTGTGGCCCAGCTGGTTCATTTCTTCCCCTCAGTCTGAGACCAGTAGCTCAAAGCCACCATCACCAAACTCAAACCTTTACTTGGAGATGGCTTGGTTAGCCTACCTCAGGAACCTCGAGCAGCAGCTGTTGACTACTGGGAAGGCCTTGTAGTTTCCAGGCCACAGCTCCTAAGGAGCAGCCCATCCTGCTACTGGTGACTGTCACCTAAACAGGTGACCCCTCCTGACACCCTCCACCCCAGGAGGCCCTCACCTTCCTTCCCCCTTGGTGGCCCCTGGCCTCAGGCCCTTGGACAGTATCATGTTAGGGGCTTCCTCTCCTGCTGCTGTGTGTCACTGCCTGCAGAGCCTGAGACACAGGGCTCCCTCTGTGGGGTGCCCTCCATCATCCCCAGAGCTCCCGGGCCTCCAAGCACACAGAAAGGACTCAGATTTACAGGGGAGGCTCAGGTGGGCCTCCAGCCTCGGCTCCTCTTGCTCTCCACCTGCCACAGCAGTGCCTGGAGCTGTTTAGGGGTGGAATGCAGATGGCGAAGCCGCCTGAGATTCAGTGCTCAGCCAGAGGCTGCTGTGCCAGGCACCAGGCAAAGCCACGTAGAGGAGGGCTCCAGCAGAACATTCCATCTGGCACTGTCACCTGGGTGCTCTGGAGTCACTGGGCAGGCAGTGGCCCTGAGGATGCACCAGACAACTGGCCACAGGAAAGGCAGCAGGGTGGGGGCTTCATATGCACAGAGGGAGACAGGATCCACATGCAGATGCTGACCTTGAGTTGCCATGTCCAGCAGAGCTGCCCCAGAGGAAATCCGCACAGAACAGCAAAGACCCACCTGGGCTGACTCTTTTATTTATTTATTTTTTACTGGGGATTGAACCCAGGGATGCTTCACCACTGACCCTTTATTTTCCATTTTGAGATAGGGTGTTGCTCTGTTGCTGAGGCTGGCCTCAAACTTGCAGTCCTATGGCCTCAGCCTCCTGAGCCTCAGATTACAGGTGGGTACCACTCTGCCAGGCACCAAGTGTGCTGCCTCTTGGTTGAAAGTTACAAATGTGTTAGAAAGAAACCACAACACAGAGAGGTGGAATCCATGGATGAGCCTCTGATACAGGTACCAACAGGAGGGATCTCAAGAACACCACTGTGAGGGGGAAACAGTCAACACCCAGCAGCAGGCGCCACCTGCTGTCACCTACAAGGGTTCAGAACAGCCAATCCCAGCAGGCAGCTCTCGGCAGGGGACTGAGGCCCAGGGCACATTCCACACTGCCTGGAGACAGAGGGCAGGAGGGAGAACTGCTGACTCAGAAAGGCAGCCTGTCAGCCAACAGCACCATGTCCTGCTGCCCCGCTCCTGGTGCAAGTTTCTGGAACTGTTTCTGGTTCCTAAGAGTGAACTCCAGGGGAGCCCGGGCAGGGAGACTGCAGCTCTGTGCTGCTTTTGCGACTTTCCAGTAAGTAGGAAATTATTTCAAAATAAAGGCAGAAGGGAGTGAGCGTGCTTGTGGAGGTGCAGCACCATCAGAGGGCCTTGGGGGGACTCTGTTGCTGATGAGTGGTCAGCAATCCAGACAGTAGGGACCTACACAGATCTGCACATTTAAACTCTTTATTAGAGCAACGCTCCACCCAAGGCCACTCCAGGCCACCTTACTTTCTAAACCTGAACACGGTCATGTCCTGGATTGCAGGGCCTTCTCCTCTCTGGGTCTCTGACACAGTTGACATCCTTGTGTTGACAGCAAGTCCCCTGAGGAAAGGGACTGGGGCTCTGTTGCCACATTTGTTCTGCACAAGAGTACAGGCACTGAGCCAGATGGGGAGCGTCAACACCTGATCATGTCCCCACCAGGGGAGGCTTGGCCAGGGGACAGCTCTGGTCTTCAGCAGTCCTCTTTTGGCCCCCATGATGACCACAGCCTGGACAGTTCTGGAAGAGCCAGATGGTCAGCTGTTGGAACTACTGTGTCATCTCTGGGGTCAACATGGGGCATTGTGGGAATCAGAGGGGCACCTAGTTGTGAGCATGGGGACAGTGTCATGTGGGACATGGGAGGCCCAAGGCAGCAAGTGGAAGATGCCAGCAGAGATGAAGGACCAACTTCTCAGAAGCACGATGGACCAGGAGCACGGACATCCTCCTGTTGTAGGGACAAACGAGGCAAGGCACCGAAGACAGCAGGAAACAGTTTTATTTGGCTGCAGCCAGGTTCAGAGGGCACAGCTTTTGCTGTAATCAGTCAATCCCCTGAACCCCGAGTTCAGGGAGTTTCAGAGTTTTATACACAGCATGTAAGGGGAGGGGCTCAGAATTTCACAGTCTGCAGAAGATCACATAAAAGCAGCTTTTTCTTTCATTGTTCTGGGCAAGTTAACTCTTCAAGGACAACACCTGAGAAGGGGACAACTTCTCCTCCCCTTTCTTTCCTCCCCCTGCCAGCTGTTACCATGGAGCCCAGTTGGTAACATATCTTAAAAATGTAGACATCTCTGTGAAGCCCAGCTCAAGGCCAGAGGCCTTGTTGCACATTTCTTCAAAGTACTATACTGGATACGTTTGTGAAAAACTTATCCAGTATAGTACCTGGAGTGCTGGTATCTTCTCAGCCAGTGGCCAAGTAAACAGGGCGACATGAAAATAGGAAGTTTATCTACATTGGACTCTCGCAGAGACTCTTTTGCTGACAGTCCTAAAATCAGCCATGGTGAAGATTTCTGGAGAGGCCCAGTTAAGACTTTTCTGTGGAGAAACGGGGGTGCCACTTCACTCCAAGTCCTGAGACAAACATGCACCTACTTCAACAGCAAGCTCTGCTTCCAGCTCAGAGGCGGGAAGTGGTGCTCAAACCAACCCCAGCCCATAATGCATCAGGACGGATTTGGCAGATGATAAACTAAAGCTTTAATCATGGAGGTCAACGTGGCCCTTGGCATTACCCAGAGGCCCTATGACTTAAGCTAAAGGAAGAGGGAGGAGAACAGAAGGGTGGGCGTGTCCCCAAGTGAGGCAGAGGCCCAGGACCTCAGAGCAGCAGCCCCAGCAGGGGGAGGCTACCAAGGACCCAGGAGCTGAGGGAGGCTTTGAAGCTGCCGCTGGTGTTGGGGACTAAGGAGGCTTGTGAACACTGGACCTGTCGGAAGATGATTCCCCCGACTGTCTGGTTGGCAGTGCCCAGGAGCTGACAGGTGGAGTTACTGATGTCGGAACAGCCTTTCAGCAGGAGGTGCTGAACTTCGGGGCCTGTGAGGCAAAGGGACGGTCAGGTCCACCACCCCTCCACTCCCCACATCTGCCCTGCTCTTGACTCCTGTCTGCTGCTGGCAGCTTCGACCTGCAGCTGGTCTGCCCCTGGCCCCATGCAGCAGGGAGGAGTCAGAGTCAAGGGCAGAAAGAGAAAGGGAACAGGAATGGTGAACCTCAGGGGCCCAGACCCCTCCTCCGCCCACCCTGAGGACCCTGAGGCTGTGAGAGCTGTCCTGAGCCGCCTCAACATCAGGGCCAGAGCTCAGACCAGACTCCCAAGGTCCCCTGAGCTCCCCTCCCTTCCAGGGTTTGCTTTCACTCCCCTCTTCTCTGGATCTGACTCTCCCTGCCTGAGGTTTCCCTGAGGAAAAAATAAAGGGAAAAGGCAATGGAAGGGATGTAGGGAGACTGTGTCATCTCCACTCTAAACCTGAGGGCTCTCATTGCTTTTCCATGTTGGAGATTTAGATTCCAGAAATAAGGTCGAGGACATTTGCATATAAGATGTGGCCACAGTAGTGCTACCTTTTACTGAACAATTACGATGTGGCCCTGTTGATCCATCACCTGCAACTCCACACCCTGGGAGAAGAGCAGCTCTCAGGATGGAGGGTCTCAGGGAAGTGGAGGGGCTTCTTATCAGAGCAGGGCCACAGCGTGGGAGCACGGCTGACTCTTGACTTTCTCTGAAAAGTAGGGAACCTTCCAAGGCCAGTGTGGAAAGCAACCCATGGCTGTTTTACAGCGAGGATCGTGCTGGAGTGGGTATTAAAATGAGCTAGGAAGACTCTAGAGTTTTAAAAACCATGATCTTGAGCAGGACAAGCAAGCAAGAAAAGCTCCGTTCATAAGGGCCTTGTCACGCTGGCTGGCCTGGACTTCTGTCACGCCCTGGGGGCCCCAGTGGGACAGTTCTTTCCCTGCAGCCTCTGCCCACACCCAGCTGGAAAATCACAACAGAGCAGCACAGAACCCCCCAGTCACGGGCGGGGAAAGAGCCTTGGCTGGGCTGCAGGTCCATGCAGAGTGTGTTTTCAGCACATGTGAGGCCCTGGGGCCAACAGCAGCCCCAAACAAAACAAAAGAGCCTGAAATGCTCCTGCTATGAAAACAAAGCCCTTCTGAGAAGACCCCATGCTGTGTGGCCAGCCACAGGACATTCTAGGGAAGGAAACCTTCAGGGACAGCAGAGGTCGGCAGTCACCATAGTCTCCTGGGGAAGGATGGAGGTCTCAGGGCTGGGACCCAGGGACATAGAGAAAATGCTCTGTCCTCACTGCAGTGGGGTCATGGACATGTCAATTCACCCCTGTTCAAACCCCAGCATCGTCCATACTCAGAGAAACTCCTGATGTCCACTATAGACATTGGGAACAAGGACGTGCCAGTGCAAGTTGATCCCTGGTAAGGAGCATGCCCTCTGTGGGAAGGTGACAGTGGGGGGCCATGTGGGGTAGATGGGAAATCTCTGTCTTCTCTCAATGTTGCTGTGACTAAACGTTTTCTAAAAGGTAAATTCTATTTGAAACAAGAAGCACAAAGAAACTCAGGATAAGTCTGGTGTTCGACCCCAGCCAAAAATCCATGATCACAGTCAAGCATTAGAAATGACATTTGGCAAAAAGTGAAGTCAAATTATACTCAGGTGTTGGTGCCCTGACACCCTACAGTGGAGTGGAGAAGTGCAGGTTTTAGAGGAAGATAAGTGGCCCCATCCACACCACAGACCAATGGCAACCAGGAAGAGAAGCAATGTGAGGAGTTTCCTGCTGCCATTAATGAACCTGGCTGGACCACAGTCACAGGAGGACAGGCCTGAGGGGGGCACAGGAGAAGGAGCTCTGGGCTCTGATGGCAGACACCACAGAGGGCTCAGTGCCCCAGCAGGCTCCCCGTCAGGCATCCCACTCCCCAGCCCCTGTGTGGATGGTGACCCAGGGTCTGACTGCTGTCAGCTCAAGTCCATGAAGGACCTTGGACTCCTAGACGTACCATTCGTGAAGTCCACCTCTATCTGGACACACTGCTGTCCCCAACTACACCTGTGGGTCTTCTCGCTGCAGGAAGTCGTGTTGAGTCCATAGCAAGCAGGGCACATGGTGTTGCTGGACCCGTCATCTGGGGCAGGGACTGGGCAGAGTGAGAACCATTAGTAAGGACCTGTGACCACATGGAAAGTGTCCCTGCCCTGGGGGAAGGGACCCACACGAGAATAAGAAGCCCCTGATCCTGGCCTCAGTACCCGACCCAGACACAGGTCTCAGCAGTGTCCACACTCCATGCCCTCACGCACCTGCCCTGGCAGGCCACAGCCTTCAGGACCCAGGGGATAGACTGAGAAGAGGAAGGTGGCACCGACAACCAAGAACAACACTAGCCAAGTGCACTGAGCCTGGCCAGCAGGAGTCTGAGGTCAAGCCTCGCCCTGAACAGAGGAGCAGGCCCTGACTCATCATCCTGATAAGAGGGAAAGGAAGCACGGAGACCAGGCCTGCTCTGAGCTCACTGGCTCTGTGATGTGGCCATGAACTATACCTCTGGAGCCACATTTCATCTCTTCATAGGGAGGCCTTTGGTTAGGTCAGCAGTGCTCAAACTGTGGTCCGGGAGTCCTGGGTCTGTAGATGCAGGCCACTGTGAGGGCACCTCTGAGCCTCACGGGGTTTCCGGAGCCCATGGGGGGAGAGATGCAGCAGAGCAGCAGCTGGAGCAGACAGCCAAGCCGGCTGCCCCAGTAACTAAGAGCTCTGCAGGACACCCAGGGACACCACTCCACCCGCAAAACAGTTTCGTTTTGTAAAATGTAGTATTTCTACCTAAAACCATATTGTGTCATTGTCTAATTATTTTTTGAGTGAATTGTACATGATTTCTGTATTTTCTTACCTTTGACTTCTAAGAGAAATATGTGAATAAATAAAATATAAATAAATAAAAGCAGTCTGGGATCCTCAGCTTCTTCACAGAAGACCTGAGACCCTGAGTTTGAGAACTACCGAGGAATATCCACTGCCCTTTGCACATCAGGGTGCTCCCAGCACCTGTCCTTACTGAGGGGGGACAGCATAGTAGTAGGGCCAGTTCGTCACACTGGTACGTCAGAAGGGAACGTCACCAAGAGATGCAGGAAGTGCTGGGACTTGAGGTCCCCCAGGGGAAGGGGCATGGGCACAGAGGGCAGGAGTAGGAGGCGGGCAGCATCCCAGGCCAACACACACCCAGGACATCGCTGTCATTTCCGCAGGGCTGTCCTTGGCAGCACTGGCTGGCGAAGTGGACGTGCTTCCCAGAAGCCACGTGGACAGTGAAGGGATCCAGCTCCTGCGTGCAGTTCTGTCCTGAGCAGGACATGTCCTGGTACAGCCTGAGGAATTCTCCTGCACAGAGGCAAGCACAGCCATCACCAGGGCCCAGAGGCTCCAGCGAGGCTCCCAACAGCCACTGCAGAAGCACAAGCTGCTACCCCAGCTCAGTGCATCTGGAGGTCTGGAGGCTCCCCTCAGGCACTGCCCTGACTGACCAGGAGCCCCAGAGAGGCCAGCTGAACACAGGCAGAGGCTGAGAGAGGCCTGGAGATGGGGGGTGCTGGTAACCCAGGCCACCTGTCAGTCTCAACCTCCATAAAGCCAAGGAAGCAGATGTGGTGAGTTTGGGGCCCTGACACCACAGCACTGCCTGTGTCCCTGCTCAGAACCTGAATTGAGTCTAGCGGCCTCTGACCACAGCTGTCCAACAAGGCAGCCCTGGCTCCATGCAGGACTGATGGTGAATCTAGATTAATTACAATTAAGTACTGTTCACAATTAAGCACTTAGCCACAGGGAGCAGGCCCTTCCCCCAACAACCAAGGGGACCCAACAAAACTGAGGGGAGCGTCATAAAGCAAGACCCACAGAACAGGTCTGAGGGAGGATCTCAGTGTGGGCTGAGGGTCCTCGTTCTAACGCCAGCTCACCGCACATGGCATCTCTGAGACAGCTGAGAAAGTGTACCAGGCTCGGGGTTAGAGGAGATTAAGGGATCACAGCTAATCTCCTGGTGTGATTATGATACAGCAATCATACCTTATAAGTCTTATCAGGGATGGACAGTGGGATACTCATGAGGGAAATGGCAGGTGACAGATAGCTTACGGTCACAGAGACACATGTCACACACACGCACACACTTCAGAATACAGTGGCAAGGCACAGGGAGGCTGACAGCTGCTAACATGGGTCAGGTGCGAGGGCTCTCCCGTCCTCCATTGCTCTGAGTGGGGAACAACAGTCAAGGTGCCTGCTGAGCAAGGCCTGAGGGAGGGGTGTTTGTTAGAAGAGAAGGAAACCAAGGGTTGCAGGAGCTGCATTTACCTGGGGCAAGCCGTCTGCCTCCTTGTGTGACTAATAGCCTCTCTTCAGCACACACTGCTGTGGCCTGGAGGGAGTCCCCGTCACAGTGGCCTCTCTGTGATATGCAGGCTTATCTGTGCTGGCTCGGCCCATGTTCCCATCTGACTGCTGCCCAGCTCAGCCCTGTCTCCCTGCTCACCCAGCCCCACCTGGGACCTCCTTCTTCCTCTTCAGCTCCAGCCCCGAGCAAGCCCCAGAGCTGAGGGCCACACAGACGGACCCGCTGCTCACCTAGAGAGAAGCTGGCCGCGGAACTCACGCAGCTGGTGTCAGCTCCTGAAGTACACTCTGTGGCGTTCTCATTGGCACAGGCTCCTGACCACGAGCTACACTGCATACAACTCAGGGATTCTGGAGACACAAAGTACCCAACGTCAGTCAAAATTCAGTAGACATGGGTAGAGCATACTCTGGGCACAGTAGAGGATGTAGACGGGCTGGCGGCCCTGCCCCGTGGGTACCTCCACACCTGCTACTGTGAGATGGAGACACACCCATTAGTTTTTCCCCACTGATCCCCAAAAGGAAGCCCCAACTTAATCGATGACACAGAGGGGCCCTTTTGAATGCAGGGTACAAGGACAGGTCCCCTGCTCTCCACTGACCACACTTTGACACCAGAGGCTGTGTGAGAGGTCCCCTGAGCAAAAGACCAAGAAGGTCCAGGCCAAATAGATGAAGGGCCTTCTTCCTCAAAGAAGCCTTGCGGTCCTCTCACCTGCAGTGGCAGTTACAAGAGCTGCGAAGATGGCGGCCGTGAGGGCAACTTTCATGGTGCTGATGCTGACCTTTCCCAAGGGTGGGCCACCAGGGGTGAAGCCTAAAGGACACAAAGAGAGCCGACTCAGGGGCTTGGAGAAATTTCTGTCATCCCCAAGAGGTTTTATCATGCTCTAACAAGTCCCATACGTGCTCCATATTTGTGACAGAAAGAATCAGAGTCCTGTTCCAGGAGCACACAGCTGTGACTTAGAGTCCACGCTTTCAGTGCAGATGCCTCTCCAGGATTTCAAGATTCAGAAAACAAGGGCATAGCACAAATCTTGCAGAAGCATCTATGTGCAGAATGAAAAGCCTGGGCCCATCCTGTGGAGCCACCTCAGGTCCAAAGCGGGAAATATAAGCCAGTTTCCAGTCCCACTGAGGATAAGATCTGTGTCAGTTAGTTTCCACGGCTGTGATAAAATACCTGAGGAATCAACTTATGAGTAGGAAAGGTTTATTTGGGCTCATGGTTTCAGAGGTTTCAGTCCACGGTCACTTGGACCTGTTGCTTTGGGCTTCTGGTGACACAGGACATCATGGCAGAAGCGTGTGACAGAGGAGGTTTGTTCCCTTCAAGGTAGGCAGGAAACACAAAGGAAAGTCAGAAGGAGCTCAGGTCCAACATCTCCTTTGAGGGCTACCCCCATGACCTACCTTCTGCCCACGCAGCCCCGGCTCCCACAGGCTCCCCGACCTGGGTCTCCAGACTGCCAACCAAGCCTTCAGTACATGGGACTCCAGGGGACTTTGAGGACCCAAACTGCAGCAAGTACCACGGAGAAGAGCTGTGCTGGAGTCCCATGTCCCCACCCTCCCAGAGCCAGCGTCTCCTTGCATCCATGCTTACCCCTGGGGCTTTCCTGAGGCTGCCACTGCCACCCTGATGCAGATGAGCAGCCACTCTATCCCAAGCCCTTCAACGTAGGACTCTGGGTAATTCACTCCCCGCACCCAGCAGGCAGCCACTATTACTAGCGCCTAGGGACCTGGAAAACAATGCTCTCACACTAAGGGGTCACACCTGAGTGGTGTCAGAGCTGGGGTGCAGCCTGGCCCCTCACCGTCACTCCAACTGCCATCCACCAGATGGCAGTACTGAGTCAGCACCTGGGCGCCTGTGACCTTAGGACTGGAGTGGAGGCTCCAGCACTCTGCATCCTGTGTCACTCGACCCTCTGCACCTTGCGTTTGTTCCTGCAAGTGTCTGATGAGAGCCTGGAGGATAGCTAAGTTCAGCTGTCGTCACTAGGATCCCAAGTCAGAGCTCTGGAGTTTCCCCTGGCCCGTCATTCATACAGAGCAAGCCCCCCCACACCCCCACACCCCACACCCCCCACCCCCCACCCCCGTCACCTCGCTGGCCCTCTCATGGTAGCCGCAGGCCACGCTGGCTCCTGAGCCAACTCCTGAGGTCAGGTCAAATGAGAGTCCCCTTTCTCAGAGCCACATCTCCAACGCTCAGCAGCCCATGGAAAAGGCCACCACCCTGGCCAGGGCATAGATGGAGCTCTCCATCATTTCAAGTCCTCCTGGACAGTGGCCATCACCATGGCTGTCCAAGGACTGAAGAAGCTGCCAAGCGCAGCCAGCTCAGGGCCAAGGCCAGGACTCCCTCCCAGGTCCCCCAGCCCCAACAATGCCACACCATGAGAGCTGGCACTTACTGAGGAGGGACCAACCTTCACCCAAGAGCTATGGCCCTGCAACCCTAGGAGCCCAGCACACAGCACAACCCCGCTGTCACCTGCACCACACCCCCACACACACTGTGGTCCTCACCCGACTTAGTCGGGGTTGGTGAAAAGGAAGGGGAAATAGCCCATGGGGGCACATTTCCTCAGTGTCCACTGTTTAGAGATCCAGGGGAAGGCCAAGCAGGGCACCAGGCACGGGGCTGTGTGCTGGACCCTGCATTTCCTTACTTAGGGACACTCCTCCAGATGTGGGCAGGGAGAGGTCCTGGTGGGCCTCCTGGGGAGGAGGAGGGGAGGGAAGAGACATGAGAGCAGCCACAGTGAGAACATGAAAGGCTCAGCATATGGCACAGACCGACCACCACCAGAGGGAAGGGACAGAGGCCAGAGGGTCCCAAATGTCCAGCACACAGCAGAGGCAGAGCCTGCAGCTGACCCCAGGGGGACCCAGGGCCTGCTAGCCTCCCTGTGAGTGAGAGGGAGCAGGGAGGCTGGAGACCAAGGCAGGGCCTGGGTGGGCCTGAGAAGCAGCAGCCTCTGTCCACCCCCAGAAATCTCTTCCTGCCCGTGAAGTTCTGCCACCAAATCTTCAAAAGTCCGGCAAGTTCCTGCCACACTGCGCTCATCTTGCAGGAAGCCGGAGCCCAGAGGTTCTGAAGATTCAGAGCCACACGGAGAACAGAGAGCCGACTGCGAGCCACTACACTCCTGGCCCAGGCCCGCCCTCCACTCCAGCCTTCCCTCTGCTCAGGAAGCAGCAGCAGGGGCCCTGCTGCCACAATTGTCCTGGTGCCCCTGCAGGCGACCTGAGCTGGCCCTGGGTGCTCTCCTCTGGTTTCAGCTCCTCCCAGGCTGAGGCAGGGGCTCACCTGCTGGGTCTGGGCTGGACACTGTCCTGAGGAAGGAAGATCCTGGCAGAGGGCTGGAGCAGGTGTGGGAATGGGTCTTATATGGCAGGGCACAGCTGCCTGCTGGGAGGGGCCTCACCAGGGCTCAGGCTGACAGGTTGCACCGCCCAGCCACCAGGATGTGACACTTACCCTCTCTACACCAGCCCTCAGTGTCCTCTCCACAGCCTCCCAAATTGGAAGTGACTTTCTCCAAGGCTTCCTTTGACAAAATGCGCAAGGGCAAGCCATGTTGCTGAGTGTCCCGGCATCAGCCATTCCCTTTAGGCCTCCTCCATCGCCCATGGTCCATTGTACCTCATAAAACAGGTCCATTCACACTCCCCAAAATAGCCTCGTTTACAGAGAGGAACTGAGGCACAGAAGAAAACACACGCACACACACACACACACACACACACAGACGTGCCCACGGGCACAGTGCCTGGACAGGGTCAGCATTCAGAACTCAGAATCAGACCATGTGGGTGCAGGCAGCTAAGAAAGGGTGTCCCAGCCCCGGGGCAAATCTTAGCCTCACTGAGCTTCAGGGTCCGCCAGCCCAGAGGAGGCTCCATTCTGGATGGTACAAAGGGAGACAGAGCCTGAATAAATGTGATGAGCAAGCAAAGCACAGGGGAGGCCAGGGTGCCATGCCAACATAGAGGGCAGGGTCGGCCATGGTGCTGGGCAGGGGTTGGTCTGATCAGGGAGGTGGGGCGGCCTCGGGAGGATTGACGTGGGAGTTCTTCCTGTGAGCAGGACTTCGGCCACTTCCTGCTCCCTGCCCTGCTCCCAAGGTCCTCGGGCTGCTCACCACAGCATTTTCCTAAGCAAAGGTGGGTCCTTCCCTGAAAGAATCCTGTTGTTCCCACCACAGGTAAGCCACTTCTTCACTTCTGCCATCTGACAGGGCCGGGGTGACCGAGGGACGTGGGTGTTGAGGGGTCCCACACTCATATCCTCCTGAGCTCTAGGTGGAGGTCCTGAGTCCCCAGGATTAAGACAGAAATCTGGGGAGGCCCCTCCAGAGCCAGGCTGGGGACAGAAGCAGAGACCCATGCTATTCAAATCCCCTCCTCCCAGTAAGCACCAGGTGCCCAAGTAAATGAGCTCAAAGCACCCGGCAAGTTCTGACCTGCATGCAGGCCCTGTCCCTGTCATGCACCCGACTTCCTTACCTGGCTCTCAGGCCTACCTGCTGCCCGGAGAATGGGGACCTCAGGTCTGAAGAACCACATTCTGTCTGTTGCTCTTGGAGTCCTCACCAGGTGCCACTGCATTTCCCAGCTCCACCCGTCAGCATTCCTGCAGGGTGTCCATCAACCGTGCTCTCAGTCAGGACCCTATCAATGGGAACATGGAAGACAATAACACCCCCTGGCCTGGGTTGCACAGGTCCACACAGCTGCTCACAGCAGCCCCATCCATTCCTCTGGAGGCCCTGGGTACTGCTCAGGGGTATCGTTATCCCCTTCACAGATGAGGAAACTGGTGCCCAGAGGGGTCTTCTCTAGGGCCTTCAAACAGCTGAGCCACAATACTGCTTTCCCATTCAGCTCAGGTGGCACCACCCTCTACCCTGGACCGAGAAACACTAGCTTGCCTCAGCTTCTCCCCATGCCACGGTCACCTTTCTGTCATCAGTGTGGGGTCCAAGGACCTGGATCATCAGGAGGAGCTATGGGAACACACCTCCCAGAAGCAGACCCTCTTTCTGATCAGCCAAGAAGTCCAAGGACCCAGGAGAAGCCAGGTCTGCCACTCTGCTTCTAGGAAGCACTGGGCACACCTCAGGCACCTGAGTGCCATCTCCATGAAGGAGTGCCAGTTTCCTGTTCTTACAACCAGCTCACTAAGGCAAGCCCAGGACCCCAGAGTCACACTGCTGTGCAAACCTGAAGCCACTGTGAAAGGGTCTCCAGGGTCCTTTCACCTCCAGCAAAGCATGAAGGTGTTCCCAGAGGTGCCCCCATAAACACACAGAGATGTGCAGGGTCAGGACTGGGAGGTCAGAGCAGGAATTCCATCTCCACGGAGGGAGAGTCCACTGAGAACTCAGCAAAGGGTCCCATCAGGAACACCCACATTCTCTCCTGCTCTGGGAGCTTCACTGATTGACTTATTTCTCCATTTCAGAGATGTAAGATCAGGTGTAAAATGATAAGAGGACTGTCCCCAACATTCCTGACCACCAGCCACTGCACACAGGAAACATGGATGCCCTGGAAGATAAACTTCATTAGTCTGTGCTCTTGTGTAAAAGGATGACCCCTTGAGTCCTGGGCTCCTGTGTTTCCAATAAAAGGAGTACCACCACTCACCTTTTAAAAACTTTTTACTGGTGCATTACAGTGACACAGAGTAATGGAGCTCAGGGTGACATATGCCACATGCACACAAGATAATTAGGCCTATTTCACTCCAAAATGGGCCCCTTCCTTCCCCTCTACCCTGCCCAGGTCTTCCTCCTCTAGTCTATTGGTCTCTTTCTCTGGGGTCCTTTTTCTTTCCTTCTTTCTCTCTAGCTTTCCTAGAGAGAGAAAGCATGAGGCCCTTGGCTTTCTGAATGGCTAATCTCATTTAGCCTAATATTCTCCGGCTCCATCCATTTTCCTGCAAATGACACAATTTCATTCTTTTTTCCGGTTGAATGAAACTCCATTGCACCACCAGGTTTTAGAAGTTACTCTAAGGGTTAATAGACCACATGGGCAGACCCTGGAAACAGTGGCTGTCTCCTGCCATGGCTTTCATGAGCTCACACCAGTGACTATCACAGAGCAGAGGAACCCTGTGGACACAGAGCAGTGGTCTAAGGGGAAGCTCAGCCTTGGGATGCACTTTTGCCCCTACCAATTGAGTGACCTGGGAGATTGGGCATAATTTGTGTCTCAGTTTCCTCTTGAGACAAAGTGACAGCTACAATACCTAATGTATTAGAAAGATTAAAACATGTTGGGATTACTCTTAGCATTTCTATAAGTTATACCAAAGCATCCACTCAAGATTTTCCAATGGCACCATTCCTTCAAGTAAAGTAAATTTATACCAATATAATAAATAAAGCTTAAGAGAGAAGACATATTTTGTTCTTTGCACAGTGCATAGATCATAAATTTGGTCCATGAAGGTTTGATTTTTTTTTAATTTTTTTAGTTGTAGTTGGTATAATATCTTTATTTATTTATTTATTTATATGTGGTGCTGAGGATGGAGCCCAGTGCCTCACATGCTCAAGGCAAGTGCTCTACCACTGA